AGGAGGACGAGGAAGGGGAAAAGGGAGGAGGGTGAGGAGAAGGAGGAGGATGTGGAGGAAGGGACAGGGCGAGGAAAGGGAGAGAGGAGGATGAAGAGGAAAAGGTAGGAGGAGGGGGGAGAAGAGGATGGAGGAAGAGGGAGATAAGATGAAAGAGAAGAAGGGGATGATGATGATGATGATGATGAAGAGGGAGAGAAGGATGAAGAGGAGGTAAGGGTTTTATACCCCCCCCCTCCTACTCTCGACCCTTGACCCAGTTCCCCTTCCAGACGGCAATAAAACTGGGTCTGGAACAAGGGTAAAAAAAAAAAAAAAAAAAAAAAAAAAAAAAAAAAAAAAAAACGAATAGATACGGTTGCGAGTTGACCTTAAACTTCCTCAAGGGGAAATTTGTGGGGGGAAAAAAGGATGAAGAGGAAGGGGAAAAAAGGCTGCGGGGGAAGAAACTAGGTGGAAAAAACGTCGATTTCATTTTCCAGTTGAGGAAAAATAATATTAGCCACAGGGGAGTATTTGGGGGGTAAGGGGAGGGGGTGATAAAGGAGGGAGAAAAGAAAGGGAAAGAGAATAGGAAATGGGAAAAAGAGGATGTATGAGAAAAGAAAATCGAGAAGAGCGAATGAGGATTAAGAATAGGGAGGAGAAAGATTTTAAAAAAAGAATGGAATGAAAATGATGACTCAATTTTGATATTAATTCATTCAATGATATTTTTCCTCCTTTCTCTCCACCTTCATTTTCCCTCCCTTCAATTATCATTCTCTCCTTTCCTCCACCTCTTCCCTCCTTCCTTGCACTCCGACTCACTCCTCCATTAGCTCCTACTTCTGTCCCTCTTCCTCTTCCTTACATCCTCGCCCTTCCCCTTTTCCTCCAAACTCTCCCTCTCCCCCCGATCTCCACCCCACCCATCTCCAACTAACCCCCCCTCTCCTCTCTGTCTTCAACCATCCCCTCCCTCTCCCCCTATCCCCACCAATCCCATCTCCCCCTATCCCCAACCAACCCAACCCTCCCTCCCCCTATCCTCCATCCCCCCTCCCTCGCCCCTATCTCCATCCCCCTCCCTCGCCCCCTATCTCCAACCCCCCCATCCCCCATCTCCAACTAACCCCTCCCTCTCTCTCTGTCTTCAACCAATCCCCCCTCTCTCCACTATCTCCAACCCACTACCTCTCCCCAATCCCCCCACCTCCCTCGCCCCTGTCTCCAACCCACCCCCTCTCTCTCCCTCTATCTCCTTCCTCTCCCTATCTCCAACCCACCCCCTCCCCTCTCACCCTCAATCCCAACCCACCCCCCTCCCTCGCCCCTGTCTCCAACCCACCCCCTCTCTCTCCCTCTATCTCTCTCCTCCCCTATCTCCAACCCACCCCCTCCTCTCCCCCAATCCCCAACCCCACCCCCCCCCTCGCCCCCTGTCTCCAACGCCACCCCCTCTCTCTCAGCCTCTACTCCTCCCTTCCCCCTATCTAACCCATCCCCCCCTCTCCCCAAATCCCACAAACCCACCCCTCCCTCTCCCCTATCTCCAAACTCCCTCTCCCCTATCACCATCCCTCCCTCACTCGCCCCCTATCTCCAACTCCCTCCCACCCCCCAGTCTCCACTAACCCCCTCCCTCCCTCTCTGTGCTCAAAAATCCCCTCCCTCTCCCCACTATCTCCAACCCACCCCCTCGCTCACCCTCTGTCTCCAACTACCCCCTCCCTCCCCCCTATCTCCAATCCACCCCTCCGTCCTCCCTGTTCCAACCCACCCCTCCCTCTCCCCCTATCTCCAACCCACCCCCTCCCTCTCCCCAATCCCAACCCACCCCCTCCCTACCCCCTGTCTCCAACCCACCCCCTCTCTCCCCCCCTCTCCCCATCTCCAACCCATCCCCTCCCTCTCCCCCCATCCAACCCACCCCCTCCCTCTCCCCCCCAAATCCCCAACCCAGCCCAACTCCATCCCTCTCCCCCCTCTCCCCACACCCCCCTCCTCCAAGCCCCAACCCACCCCCCTCCCTCTCCCCCCTGTCCCAACCCACCCCTCCTCTCCCCTATCTCCAACCCCCCCCGCCTCCCCAACCACCGCCCTCTCCTCGCCCCCTATCTCCAACCCACCCCTCCCTCCCCCTCTCGTACCCCCTCCCTCTCCCCCCCAATCCCCCAACCCACCCCCTCCCCCCTCTGTCTTCCAACCCACCCCCTCTCCTCTCCTCCCTCTCCCCCCTCCAACCACCCCCTCCACCCCCAATCCCCATCCACGCCCCTCCCTTTCCCCAGTCCCCAATCCCACCCCCTCCGTCGCCCCATATGTCTTGGAAATATGAGAATGAATTATTTATATTCCTTTTGACTGTGATCGAAAAACGAGTCTGGAATCGCCTGGGGTTGCAAATTACGCTTTCGCAATTGCCATATTTTTGGTCACTCGAGCCGACTCTTGCTTTCTCTGTCTGTCTGTCTGTCTGTCTGTCTTTGTCTTTGTCTTCTCTTTTCTTTTTCTCTCGTCGGTCTGTCGGTCTCTCTCTCTGTCTGTCTGTCTCTGTCTCTCTCTCTCTCTCTCTCTCTCTCTCTCTCTCTCTCTCTCTCTCTCTCTCTCTCTCTCTCTCTCTCTCTCTCTCTCTCTCCTCTCTCTCTCTCTCTGCTCTCTCTGCTCTCTCTCTCTCTCTCTCTCTCTCTCTCTCTCTTCTCTCTCTGCTCTCTTCTCTTCTCTCTTCTCTCTCTTGCTCTCTTGCCCTCTCGCCGTATGTATGAATCCGAGTGTGACGAAACTGTGCTGTATCCGATAAGCTATTTTCATCCTAAGGAACACCGACCATAAAGCCTATAACTAATCAATCTTTGTGGGGCGTTCGATACTGCGACGTAAGATAGAGTGTGGGAGGAGGAGGAATAGGAGGAAAAGGAATGGAAGGAGAGGAGGAAAGAGGAAAGGGAAGAGGAAAAGAAGGAGAACGATGGAGAGGAGGAGGAGGAGGTGGAGAACGATGGGGAGAAAGAGGATGAAGAGGAGGAGAAGACGGAGGACGATGGGGAGAAGGAGGAGGAAGTGGATGAAAAGAAATGGGAAGAGGAGGAAAAGACAAAAAGAAGAGGAGAGAAGAAGAAAAAGAAGAAGAAGATGAAGATGAAAAAGTGGACCTCCCTCCCCGTATTTGCACAGCAGTCTCGTTCAACAATGTTTCCATGTTGCGGTTCCTTGTTTTTACCCCTTTTGTCATTTCCTCCTGGGAGAGACAGAGAAAGAGAGGGAGGGGGAGAGAGGGGAGGGAAAGAGGGATGGGAGGGAAGAAGAGGAGAGGGGAAGAGGAGGGAGGAGAAGGATGGAGGAGGGGAGGAGAAGAAGGATGGGGAGGGGGAGAGGAGGAAAGGGGAAGAGGGAGAATGATAAATAAAAAATAAAAAAAAAATAGTGAAAGAAAGGAGGGATAGAAAGAAAAAGTATGAGAAACCAAGGAAGACAAGGATACTGACGCAGACACATAGGAAGTATTCTTGTTCAACGGCTTTCTCGGATTTGTGCCGATTCTGTGAAAGCGAGAAACTACAAAAACGTGAGAAAACAGAAAAAAAGAAAAGAGAGAAAAGTTAACCTTTGTAATTAAAGAAATTGCTCTCATTTATATCTCGCGGCCGACAAAAAGGCAGCTGTTGGGCTGAGGTTGCCGAGTGGCGATTTCAAGATCCGATTTTTTTCTATTTATTTTGTGGTTTGTTTTGGGTTGGTATTTATTTCGTCGAGAGTATGTCTTGTTTGATATATTTTACTTTTGAAACATTTTTTTACCTGATTTTAGCGTTAGTTCCCCCTTCGGGTGTTGTCCATATTCCGTTTTCTATGACAACAACAATCCATTTTCTATGATAATGGCTACTTGCCTCATTCAAGAAAGTCTTTGTTTTCTGTAACTCACAATCTGTTATATATATCACTTACGGTGCTATTCTATATCATTTACGCTCTGCTTATAATTTCACTATATTTATCTATGCCATTCAGAAGTCAGAGGAGGTATTAAACGTTCATTTCTCTCTCTCTCTCTCACTCTCTCTCTCTCTCTCTCTCTCTCTCTCTCTCTCTCTCTCTCTCTCTCTCTCTCTCTCTCTCTCTCTCTCTCTCTCTCTCTCTCTCTCTCTCTCCTTCTCTCTTCTCTTCTTTGGTGTACGTAATATCACATAAATCCATAGGTATTCGTATATGTTATAAGCATAGATATTATCACATATCCATTTCACTTCCCTTAGACATTTACATGCATGTCAACTTACCGTTCAAGGGTTTGTCATTGTCTGATCCCCCCCCCTCACCCCCCCCACTCCAACTCTCCCTCCACCCCAACTAGCCTCCACCCCATCCTCCCTAAATGTCACCCTCCCTCCTTCCCTCTCTCCCTCTCTCTATCCCCCACTTCCCTCCCTCTGACCCTCCAAACGTCCCTCCCTCCCTCTACCCCCCCAGCCTCCCTCCCCCCCCCCAGCCTCCCACTTCCTCACTCCCTCCCTCCCTCCCCTACTCCACTTCCCTACCACCCCCTCCCTCCTCCCTACTCCCACTATCCTACACCCCCTCCCCCCCTCCCTCCCTCTACTCCCACTCTCCCTACACCCCTCCTCCCTCCCTCCTACTCCCACTTCCCTCCACCCCTCCCTCTCTCCCTTTACCCCCCACTTCCCTCCCTCGATCCCCACTTCCCCCCTCGACCCCCCCCCTCCCCTCTCTTATGTTTCATCAATTACGTCATCGCCGACAGTGACGTCACATCAAATCATAATTTACCCGAGGGCGTTGTTGCTATTTCCACCCATTACTTTTAAGCGTTTATTGTAATAATTAATTTTAATGGATTCATTGCGATCCACCAATACACGGACACCTGGGTAATTATTGCTTTCCATTTGGCATTAATTATTTTTTATCGACGTTTTCCCACTCTTTGTAGGTCAGTTTCCCGTTTTTTGTTGTTGCTGTCTTTAATTTCTCCATTGAAAACGGGAAACCAATCAAGCATGGCGGACCTTTTAAATTCCCTGTCAGGTTTATCAGCGATTCAGAATGAGAAGTGCCAATATAGGAATGTTACACTTCGTTCTGGTCGTGACAGGTCATCCGTCGGGTCGCTGACCTTTTATAAAACTCGTGACTGATGCTTGTGTTTGCTTTTTAGACCATTCCATCTCTTCCATCACTCCCCTCTCCCCCTTCTCCTCTTCTCTCCCTCTTCCTTGTTTTTACTTACTTCATTTCATGGATTTCCCGTTTGCAGTTATTGTGTTTCTTACCTTTCTCGCTATCTTTCTCTGCGTCTTTCTCTCTGCCTCGATGAATAGATGGCTAAGGAAATAGCTTTATTTATTTTACTTTCTCATTTTCGAGTATCCGTTTTCTTCTTCTCTCTCTATTCTGCCTTTCTTTTATACATTTTATCTCGTTATCTCTTTATTTTTCTTCGGTATACTCCGTTCGCTCTTTCTTTTTCTCTTCCTCTCTCTCTCTCTCTCTCTCTCTCTCTCTCTCTCTCTCCTCTCTCTCTCTCTCTCTCTCTCTCTCTCTCTCTCTCTCTCTCTCTCTCTCTCTCTCTCTCTCTCTCTCTCTCTCTCTCTCTCTCTCCTTTCCTCCTCCTTTGTATATTCATTCTTTCTATTCCTCTAATTCTCTTTTACCTCTTTCCCCTTCTCCTTCTTTCACGACCTGGGTTAAAGTCTTTTATTTTCCCACCCGTTCCTTTCTCTCCTTTATTTAATCCTTTCTTTTTATCCTTTATATCCCTCTGTTATCCATTTATCCCTCTGCATCTCCCCTTTCGTGTTGTTGTCTTTTTTTGTGTGTTTCAGGTGGCGCGTCTACCTTTGCTTCTCTTTATGTTTGTTGTTGATGTTGTTATCGTTTGTATTATTGTAATTGTTATTGTTATTGTTATTTTTGCTGTTATTGTTATTGTAATTGTTATTGCTCTTGCTATTACTATTGTTATTATTATTATCATCTCCAACATTCTTCGTTTTATTATCATTCTTATCATGATCATAATTATCATTATTATTATCATTATTATCATTTTCATAATTACCATTATTATTATTATTGTCATCATGATTATCATTATTATTATCTTAATTGTTGTTTAAATTATTATTATCTTCATAATCATCTCCCTTCCTCTCTACTTTCTTTTTCTCTCTCTCTCTCTCTCTCTCTCTCTCTCTCTCTCTCTCTCTCTCTCTCTCTCTTCTCTCTCTCTCTCTCTCTCTCTCTCTCTCTCTCTCTCTCTCTCTCTTTCTCTCTCTCTCTCTCTCTCTCTCTCTCTCTCTCTCTCTCTATTTATCTATAAAGGGTTTCGATTCCTGTTGTTCTGTAATTCAACGCTCCATGAAACTGTCATTTGGTTTATTTTCGTAAATAAACTTTTATTCAGCTTGATGTTCTAATATTTTCATCTCTCTTCGTTTTGTTTTGCTTTTGTGTCCTCTAATCTATTTTTCTTTCATCTGTTTGTTTGTTATTTTCATCGTTGTGGTTCTTTTTGTTTTTTCTCCTATTTTTTTGGGGGGGTTTGTTTATGTGTGTATCTTGTCATGAAGTTTTGTGTTGCTTCTCTTTCTCTCTCTCTTCCTCTGTGTTTGTGTATATGTTTGTTTGTGTGTTGTCGTTTTTTCACAGTTTTTCTTTCATCGTTTGTGTTTGTTTATCTGTCAGTACGCATATTTAACACATGGGTAATTATCCATGGTATAACGTATCAAAAATGATTTATCTATGTAAATGTATCCGTTTCTCTTCCTCTCTCTATTTCTCCTTTTGTTCCTCTTTCGCTCTCTCTCTGTCAGGGTTTGTTTTCCCCTGACTTTGGTGGGTTTGGAGACACGATTCTGTTTGGCGTTGTTCAGGAGAGGGGGCTGGTCGCGTGGTGGGCTGAGCCTCGTGCTGGTGTAAGTCCGGGCGAGAGCCAGGGGCGCGCCGGGCGGAACGCGCGTGGGGAGTGACGCCCAGAGGGAGCCGTCCGGGTGAGGGCGTGACCCCAGTTAGGGTGGGTAAGCAGCATTGAAGACAGGTCAGAGGTCACTAGCGCTGGGGACGTGGCTAGCTAAACCGAAGCCGTGATTGGTTCCTCAGACCGCTCGGAGGAGAGGTGGGGAAAAAAATGGAAAACAAATGTTTGTTGATAATATTAAAAAAGATCCCACTCTCTCTCTCTCTCTCTCTCTCTCTCTCTCTCTCTCTCTCTCTCTCTCTCTCTCTCTCTCTCTCTCTCTCTCTCTCTTCTCTCTCTCTCTCTCTCTCTCTCTCTCTCTCTCCCCTTTCTCCTTCCCTCTTTCTATCACTCCCTCTCCTTCTCCTTCTCATTCTCTCCCTCTTTTATTTCACCCTTCCTCTTATTCGCACATTCATTAATTTATTCACTTTCCTCCCACGCTGCTGCCGTGCATTTCTCGGAAAAGTTCCGTCACGGTTGATTTGCTATTCATGGAATTCTCATCAAAACCTCATAAAAAAAAGATTGATTCCCGATCACGTGGTCTGATAGCCGGGGTTTCGGTCCTGTTGAAAGTACGCGGGCGGCCATCATTCCGACAGCCGAGCGCGGGATCCTGTCTCCGCTGAATATTCAGACCTTTGATCAGGAGGGGTCGAGGCGGGAGAAAATGGCGCCAAGATTTAAAGGGGTACTGGGTGCTTTCGAGGAACAAAAGATGATTTTATGGCTTCTGTCGGGAGGCGAGGAGGGAGAATTGTGAGGATATTGTGAGGTAGGATTTGCGGGATTTTATGAGGATGATTTGTGTGAGTTAATGAGGCTTCGTCTACGAGAACTTACGGTGGATGATCTATGGAGGAGAAACTACTATTACAATAAACCTATGAAGCAGACTGTTGAATAAATTACTATTCTTCCATTAGGCTCATTTTCTTGCAATATAAAAATACCGATCCGACCTCACGTCATTTGAAAACCGCAGACATTAAATAATAGTGAATGACGTCACCAGGTTTACGTAATCGGATCCCGGAACAAGGAACCGGCAAAGTCTTAACTGTAATTTTCAACTTTCGTGTAATTAGTGTCATTTACGAAGTCCGGATATCGTACCATGATTTATACGCTTTTTTTTCTTTTCTTTTTTTGCCTTGTCTTGACTTATTTGTTTGTGTTTTTTTAAAGATCGTTGCCAGAATGTATCGTTTTTTCTGTTGTTATTTTCTTGTTTTCGTTGATTCTATCCGAAGGTGTGGCTTTTTTTCTTATAGATTTTATCAGAATATGTTGTCTGGTTTTCTTCTATGTTATCAATCTTTCCTTATTTGTTCTTAGATTTTGTCAGAATAAGACATCTTTTTTTCTTTCTATCTATCTTTTTTTTTCTTAGATTTTGTCAGAATGTATCGTTTTTTTCTCTCTATATATATATCGTCCTGGGTCGTGACGGTTCGGGATAAAATCGGAACTTATTCTTTCGTTCGTTATGCTAATTCCAATTTTGTTATTGTTGACCATTCATTATCCTTTCCTTCGTCATTTCCTTGTCTTCTCTTCTCTCTTTCTCTCACTTCATACACATAGGAAGGGTTAAATAAAACAGGAAGAGAGAGAGGGAGAGGAGAGAGGAGAGAGAGAGAGAGAGAGAGAGAGAGAGAGAGAGAGAGAGAGAGAGAGAGAGAGAGAGAGAGAGAGAGGAGAGAGAGAGAGAGAGAGAGAGAGAGAGAGAGAGAGAGAGGAGAGAGAGAGAGAGAGAGAGAGAGAGAGAGAGAGAGAGAGAGAGAGAGAGAGAGAGAGAGAGAGATCCCCCTTCCTCCCTTTTGTTCTCTCCTTATTCTTTCTTTTCCATTTTTCTCTCTCCTTTCGTTTCTTTCACTTTCCCTCTCTTCTTTGTTTCACAATCTCTCTTTCCCTCCCTTCTCCGTTTTTCTTCTCTGTCTCTCTATTCCCCTTTCTCCTCCTGTAAAAACTACATGAAATCGTTTCTTAATCTCTTTAATTTCGGTTTCGAAAAATTCCGACAAAAGTGTATTTCCAAAATTTTTCTTTTTTTCTTCTCGTTTTCTCTCCCTTTTGTTAAATTTTATGTTCGATGTTTTTCTTCATTTTTTTTACTTCTTTTCTGAATCTTCGTCGATGTCTTTTTCTTCATCCTCCTTTACCTTCTTCTTTTTCTTATTATTGTTCTTTTGTCTCTTCTCATTTATTATTCTTAGTATTGATATCCCTCCTCCTCCTTATTCCTCTTCCTTGTTTCTTCCCTATCACCACCATCATCATCATCTTCTCATTCTTCTTCAGTGCCTTTTTTTTTGTACACCCTTCCCCCCCAAAAAAAAGTTGAGAAATTCCCCTCCCCTTCCCCTTTTCCCCTCACCCACACTCCCTCTCCTCCTCCTCTCCATTTCCTCCCTCCCCTCCCCTCCCTCCTCCTCCTCCTCCCTCTCCCTTCCCCTCCCTCCCCTCCCCTCCCTCCTCCTCCTCCTTCCCTCCCTCCCCCTTCCCCTCCCTTCCCCTCCCTTCCCTCCCCTTCCCTCCCCTCTGACCAACATCATCCTAACCCCCCCCTCCCCCACCCACCCCAAAAAAATATCAATAACCATTTTTCTTTTACTTTTTAGACAAAACTCCATGCCACAGCACCCCCGCCCCACCCCTACCCCCACCTTCACCTCAACCCCAACCCCCACCCGTACCCCACTTTCACCTCAATCCCCCGCCCACCCTACCCCCCTACCCCCCCTTCACCTCAACCCCCAACCCCCACCCCACCCCCCACCTTCACCTCAACCCCCATCCCCCCCCCCTACCCCCCCTTCACCTCAACCCCCACCCCCACCCCCCTTTCTATTCACCAATTCTCTGGCTTCCTCCTTCAAAACCAACGCGACGAAAGGGCGCTTCTTTCCCCCGCCGCCGACGCCCGTAACCAAATTACCCACAATTCGCTGTTGCATTTCCACACGTATATATATTTCGTCGTTGCAGTTCAAAGAAAAAGAAGAGAGAGAGAGAGAGAGAGAGAGAGAGAGAGAGAGAGAGAGAGAGAGAGAGAGAGAGAGAGAGAGAGAGAGAAGAGAGAGAGAGAAGAAAAAAAGAAAAAAAAAAGATTGCAAAAAAGCAAAAAAATAATGATAATAAAAAAGAAAGAAAAGGGAGAAAAAAAAAAAGAAAAAAAATAGAAAAAAGAAAGATGAAGGAAAAAAAGACGGCCAGTGCGGACCCACCTCTCGCCTCCTGTCCACCGGGTTATTACAAGTAAATCCGAAATGCTGCGTAACTTTGGTTTGATATTAGATTTGCATAGTTAAATGATCGTGGTTGAAGCGGGACTGTTCATATGCATTCGTCATGAAATCGGTTTAACTTAACGCGCGCCGGAGGATTTTAATATATAAATTTACATGTATACGCACCTACGTATATGTGTACGTGTGCGTATTGTGTGTGCGGGTATATATATGTTCATATATACGTACACAGGCGTGTGTGTGTATGTGTGTGAGTGCATTTATATATTTGTGTGTGTGTGCACATACGATTTAATTACGCAAATAAAACTGTTTAATAATTATTCATAATATATTTTTACATTGCATATGCTAATGTCAAGCACGACGACACAATACAATTTCCCTTTTGATTCCTGTTTCCATTTTCTAATCTATTTCCTCTGCTTCCAGCTCGGTGAAGGAGGGAGGAGTGGTGGTATCACGACCTCCCTTGGTGAGGAGTCGTACCTTGCCAGCTATAGTCGTACCAGGAGTCACCGTACTGCAGACAGCGTTAGATGCCTCCGACCGACGAGGTAACGTACCCCAACGACCGCTATCGTACTCTTGGTTGACCGCTATCGTACACTGGTTGGAATTGTTATCGTACACTGGTTGAAAGCACTTTTTATTCTTTTTTGGACTGTCCTTTTTCCCCTTTAGAGGAAAAAAAAGAAACACTCCTTCTGCACTCTGTAGCTCCTTGATATCTTACGCTTTTACTGTAAGCTTTGCCTAATCCTCTATTTGATTCACTCCGATGCTTTCTTGTTGTCTTGGGTATTCTTGTGCTGTAGATCATTCTTTTCCACTAGTACATTTACATATATATGTATATGTATATATATATATATATATATATATATATATATATATATATATATATATATATATATATATATTGTTGCTGGTGAACTTGGTTGGACGAATTTCTGCACTGTTCCCCTGCTTTTATTGTGTACTGCAGAGACCACGTCGAGAGCACACTCCATTTGGCTTGTACGTTGTATTTTTCTTTCCTTTTATTTCTCTTCTTCTGTGTGGTTGTTCCTTTGTGGTCACCTCGATGTTTTCTCCACGTGTAAAGAAAAAAGAAAAAAAAATCATTATGTAGTGCACAACGGTTCAATTGATCTGCTTCTACCCATGTTGCAAATACTTTTCATCTTTGGTATCTCCTTGTAGTGGATCTGTCATTTGTGATGTTTTTCTCGCCTTCACATCGCTGGATTTCAAGCTGTTCTCTCTACATGAAAGATGTTTGTTATATCCTGCAATGTTTTCTTTTCATTTTTTTTATTTGTTTTTATTTTCCAAAAATATCTGCACTTTTACTGTACTCGTATCAGTTTATCAGTGGCCGAAAAAAATGTAAATACGTACAAATTTTAATAATTCTCTCACTAAACTTTCCGTTAGAATTGATTTGCTGCGTTGCTCATGTTATCAATCTTACGCTTGCAGACGAGATGTACTCAGTCATCTTAGTATATATATGTTGTCTTTTTCGAATACTGTTCCGTCCTTACGTACTAGCTCACTGTCTTTGCGTACTGTGAATTTCGACCTATGTACGTTGCAGTGACAGTCAGTGCAATTTTTGTTTTGATGTCACCTGCCGTATATATATTAAGTATGTAGCCCTCCAAAGTACGTACGGATATCTCCCGCCCTATACCGTTTACGCACGGAACCCCCTAACATACATACGTGAACCCTCGAGAACTTCAGTGACCTTGCAAACCAAGAACCCCCCCCCCCTCCTTCTCCACTGCAGAGGGCCTAGCAGAGGACACGTCTTCCCTCTCTTCCCCTTCTCCTTTCCTCCTGCCTCTCCTCCCTTCCCCTTCCCTCCTACCCATTCCCCCCCCTTCCCCTCCTACCCCTCCCTTTCCACCCCTCCCCTTTCCCTCCTACCCCTCCCCCTTTCCCTCCTACCCCTACCCCCTTCGCCTTCCTCTTCCCTCTTACTCCTCCCCTTCCTTTTTCTTCCCCTATCTCCCACCCCCCCTCTTCCCCTTCCCTCCCCATTCCCATCCCCTTTTTTCCTACTCCCTTAGACCTTCACCCTTCCTCCTTCCTCTTTAAGGAAGAACCAGCGATGCAAAACTCGCGAGGAAATAGTGGAGAAACCTGTCGCCATTCCCTTTACAAAATGGCGTAGAAATACGATAAAGAGCAGGAAAAAATGTATATTTTTTCATATTTGTTACGTAACTGCAAAAAACGATAATTACAAATCTCTTTTATGTAATTTTATGCAATGCAGTGTGGCAGAAACAGAAAGGAAATACATTATTCTCTTTTTTCATTTAACTTCATTTTTTTGTAAGCTATACCTTCCATCATCGGAATAGGGGCGCGAAGAAAGTGCTATACACCGACCGTCTTCAGACATCTTAAGATCCGGGATTCGGACATTTTCTAAGGGCGTGAAGAAGGGCTGTGTGAGCTGCAGAATTTCATGCCGAGGGTCTGCCCTTGGGGATTAATGGGATGTGTTTGTTGAGGTCTATTTCTCTCTATCTATCTATCTATTTCTCTCTTTCTTTCTTTCTTTCTCTCTCTCTCTCTCTCTCTCTCTCTCTCTCTCTCTCTCTCTCTCTCTCTCTCTCTCTCTCTCTCTCTCTCTCTCTCTCTCTCTCTCTCTCTCTCTCTCTCTCTCTCTCTCTCTCTCTCTCTCTCTCTCTCTCTCTCTCTCTCTCTCTCTCTCTCTCTCTCCTCTCTCTCTCTCCTCTCCTCCTCTCCTCTCAATATATCAAACTTCTTTCCTATTTATATGCGTTTATTTTTGCACCCATTGATCATTTAGTCAAGAGAGAGAAATTGGTCTTTGCCAAATGACGTCATACAAATCGATGCTTTTAATGATTATCGAAACGGAACCATTATTTTGCTTGTTAATTGGAGGTTGTTGATACTGTGGCCTCTGTGTGTGTGTGTGTGTGTGTGTGTTGTTGTGTTGTGTGTGGTGTGTTTATGTTGTGTGTGTGTGTTTATGTGTGTGTGTGTTTGTGTGTGTGTATGTTTATGTATGTGTGTGTGTGTGTATGTTTATGTGCGTATGTGTGCGTGTGTCATGTACGTGTGTCTTTTTCTCTCTATATATATGTTTCATTGTATCTCACTTTCTCTCTCGTCTAGCTCATTCTCTCTCCCTCTCTCTCTTTACCCAAATTCCTTCCACAGTAATTCAAAAGGAACGGTTTCAGAATTTACTGGGGTTCTACCGATCGCAAATAAAGATTTTTAAAGAATATAAAAATATACACATATATGGTTTGGTCTCGCGTTCCCCTCCAGCAGCGGGGTAATGCCGCTACCCTGGGGACATTCCCCTGGAATTTTTTACACCTATCTTGCCAATATTTGTATATTTATGTGTGTGTGTGTGGATATGTAGATAAATAGATATAGATATTTATATATATATGTGTGTGTGTGTGTGTAATGTGTGTGTATGTGCGTGTGTGTATGTATATGTATGTGTGTATATATATAGATAGATAATAGATAGATAGATATATTTATAGTATGTGTGCGTGTGTGTATGTGTGTGTAAATATATTGCAAACCAATTGCAACACACACTCCACTCGCCACCCGAGGCATTAGCCACTTCGGCTGGAGAAAGTAAAACAAACTCTAGATTCGAGAATCTTCTGTGACACTTGGATAGCGTAGAGAATCCGTGAAGAGTTTGTGGTGATGGATGGCCGGGGGAGAGACGGGGCGGGGGGGGGGCGCTCTCTGACCTCGTGTGCGTACATGGCTGCGTACACGATGATACGTTCGTACCTGCATGTGTAGAATAGAATAGAATAGTTTACGGACTAAGACAAGGAAGATGGTGTTTATACAAATGCACTTACTCTTACACGTTACACAAAAATACGTAAACACACTTATAGAACCCTCACAGAGATACACACACACACACACACACACACACACACACACACACACACACACACACAACACACACACAACACACACACACACACACACACACACACACACACACACACACACACACACACACACACACACACACACACACACACACACACACACGCAACCTCCCCCTCCTGCCCCTCAACACACAATATCCGGGAGCAGCGCCCCTTCTCCCTCCCTCCCCCCCCCCTCCTCTCCTCTCCTCCTCCCTCCCTCTCTCCTTCCCTCCCTTCCCCTCCTCCTCCTCCCCCCCTCCCCTCCCTCCCCCTCCCCTCCCCTCCCCTCCCCTCCTCCCCTCCCCCCCTCCCCCTCCCTTTCCTCCCCCCTCCCCTCCCTTTCCTCCCTCCCCTCCCCCCCTCCTCCCCTCCCCTCCCTCCTCCCCTCCCCTCCCCTCCCCTCCCCTCGTCACGAAGCATCAGCAGACTGCGAGAAAATCCTTCAATTTCCTGAACTCTGCCAATACCCTCGTCTGCCGTACGAATATCCCCCTCTGAGAATTCTCTCTCCCGCTATCCCTCTTTCCTCCTCTCTCTTTTTCTCTCTTTCCTCTTTTTCTTTTGTTTCCTTTTTTCTCATTTCTTTCACTTTCTTTTTTTTCTTTTTTCTCTAGATATATAAGTAAGGGATAGATAGGTAGATAGAAAGGTAGATAGATAGATAGATAAATAAATGAATAGATTAATGAATAGATAGATCGATAGATAGATAAACAGATAGACAGAGATAGATAGACCGATACATAAATAGATAGAGAGAGAGACAGATATAAATAAAAAGTATTTTTCAATTACCCTTCCTTCCTTTGACCTTGTATGACCTTCGCTCACCTTAATTACCACTTTGACCTTTTGGGGTCACTGAGGACGTAGCTTAAGGCGGGTTGTATGGACGGGAGGGGGGGGAAGGAAAGAGGAGATATTCCCTCTCTTTTATGTATTCGTTTTTATTTTCTTATTTTATTATCCCTTTCCCTAATTCCAATTTTCCCTCTTTTATTTATTTTTTCATTCTTTCCCTCCTATCTTTCTTTTATTTCTTCTTTTTCCCCTCTTTTCCTCTTCCCCGCTTCTCCTCCTTTCTTCTTTTTTCCATCGTTTCCTCTTTTCTCTCTCTCTTTCCTTTTTCTCTCTTTTTCATTTTTTTTCTCTCTCTCCCTTTCCTTTTTTCTCTCTATTTTTTCCTGTTCCCCTCTTCTTCTCCTCCTCCATTTACCCCTCTACTGCTGATCATGCGCTATTTAAGCGACTGTGTGTTTGGCTAATGCCATGAGGGTGCGTGTGAGGGAGATAGATAGATAGAGAGAGAGAGAGAGAGAGAGAGAGAGAGAGAGAAGAGAGAGAGAGAGAAGAGAGAGGAGAGAGAGAGAGAGAGAGGAGGAGAGAGAGGGAGAGGGAGGGAGGGAGGGAGGAGGAGAGAGAAAGATAGAGACAGAGACAAAGATAGAAACAGAGACAGAGACAGACAGGGAGAGAGAGAGAGAGAGAGAGAGAGAGAGAGAGAGAGAGAGAGAGAAGAGAGAGAGAGATGAGAGAGAGAGAGAGAGAGAGAGAGAGAGAGAGAGAGAGAGAGAGAGAGAGAG